GGGGTGAGGTGGGTGGGGGTGATGGGTTCCTCCAGGCCCTGAATACTCTCGTCCCAGGTTTGGAGTCACCCCAGGGGGGCTGAGGTACTCTCGATTTGTGCCAGTGGAAGAAGGCGCCCCAGCAGGAAAGTCTTTTCCTCCAGTGGATGGATATTCTCTGTGAAAGTGGTCTGATCCAGAGGAGGGGGTTTGTGCCTGGTCCATGGGAGGAGGGAAGTCTCGGCTGGATGAATTTGGGGGGTGTGGGTGTGGGGGCAGGGAGGAATGGGAAGGGTGACTGGGGTTGTTTTGGGGCGATGCAGGTGGGTCCCGGTTCAGCATGGGGGTGACAGGTAGCCCGCTGGTTGAACTTGGGGTGTTTCCCTGGGGGATGGAGTTGTTGTTTGGGTTACTGTTGCCTACAACCTCTCTTGTCTGGCCCCCAAACTCACCCCATCTGCCTCCATCTTTGTCTCTGGGATGCCCCCCTCCAGTTCCATTGGGGCCAAAGTCTCTACTCTGGTTTTGGTTTGGCAGAGGAAACTCCCTCCCTGCATCCCGTTCCCTGTCCCTTTCTCGCTCTCTGTCTCTGAAAGCTGGACCAAAGTCTCGTCTTTCAGGACCCAAGTTAGGTCCATCTCTTCCAGAACTTTGGAACTCCCGGTTCTGACCCACTGAAAGACCCCCAAACTCCCTGCTTTGGATGCTGTTGGACCCAGCCATCCCACCACAAGTACTATTACCATTACCCCCGCTACTATTGTTGCTGCTGTTGCCAATGGGAGCAGAGAACTCCCTGTTGATCTCCCTCCCCCCACATTCCCCCCTCACTCCCCTCTCCCTCTCTCCTGCGGCCCCCCTCTCTCTGTCCCCTCCCCCCCCAGCGTACCTGGGAAGGTACTCCCTGTGGGGGTGGGGATGAGGATGGGGGAGGTAAGAGGGGTGGGAGGAGGAGTGGCGAGAGGACGGAGGGTTGTAAACAGAGGGAAGTTGCTGCTGCTGCACTGGGGGCTGGTGCTGTGGTTGGTGTGGGTGGTGGTTTCCAGGGTAACGGGTGTAGCCCCAGCTCCCCTGGCAACCAGTTGCTGTACCACCCTGCCAGCTGGTGGAGCTGTAGTGGTGAGGGTGGGCAGAGGGTTGGGTCTGAGACTGGGACTGTGGCTGTGGGCCGGTCTGTGGCAACAGAGAAGGAGGAGTGGACTGAGCCTTGTCCAGGAGTTTGTCTGCCTTTTCTATTTTGTCCCTTTCTGTCTTAACCTCAGCAGGCAGGTTTTGTCCCCCAAGCTCCAAGGGCTTTAGCGCAGGTGGAGGAGGAAGAGGAGGGGGCAAAGAGTGGGGAAGGTTGGGGCTGTTATGGGAAAAATCTCCTCCCGAGATAGTTGTCTTGGTCACACACTGCGTGCTGGCTTTGGAATTCATTCTGTTGCCACTAAGTGCACCGTCAACTCCCGTCGGTCCACCATACTCAACTTTACACATCAATTTGGAGTCCAGGGAGAAATAGGACTTCCTCCCGCTATTGCTGTCATTGGATGAGTCCCCTGCTCCACGGAGAGAGGGAGTCAGACCAGAGGAAGAGCATGGAGTGGAGGGGGGTTTAAGAGACGGACAGTCTTCAATTCGTGCGTCCACATCCCGCTTTTCTCCATCTCCACAGGACTCATCCCCTCTTCCCTCTCGTAGCGCTCTCCTATCCTCTCCTGAAACCTTGCCCGCTCCTCCCTCCTTGCCTTTCTCCCGTTCCCTCTCTCCTTGCTTTGGTGAGTCGGGGCCATCGGAATCAGAGTCCAGGCTACCCAAAGGGGAAGCGGAGAGACTTGGGGATGAGGAACGATTGTCCTGGTCTATATCCCGCCCACTGCTCAGACTACTGCTGCTATTGGCCAGGCTCCCTACAACTGAACTCCTACTGCCCTGGGATTGGCCATCTTCGTTGTCACTCTCACGGGATTGGCTGGCAACTGAGGTCGGAGGTGGAACTGTGGAAGGAGCCGAGCTGTCAGTCGAGTGTGTTGATGTTGGAGGGTTTGGGGTAGAAGCCGAATCCTGACAAGAAAAGATCATTTGTGGATGAGGTAAAAATGCAAATTTTGTGTATGTGGTAACATTGGCTGTGTGTATATTTGTAGAAACAAAGAATGTAACTCTTAATAGCTTAGACAGTGCCATTTGGGTGATTTAGCTGAATCAAAGCTTTATAATTAGTCTTTATATAACAGGTTGATGAAATGTAACACAAACCTGAACTTTCTGCCTCTTTGGAGGAGACACAAGTTCCTCCCCCTCACTCTCTGATGAATCATGCCCTTGTGATCTGCGACTGAAGCGATTTCCAGCCAATTCCTCACCAGCACCTCTTTGCTAAAACAACACAAGACTTTTAATTCTGTAGTGATGTCTCTGAATCCCTAACAAGCCTACGACTGTTTTTAGAACAAAGCCACACTTGCATGCACGCACATGCACGCAAAACATCAATGTCATACGCAAAACATCAAAGATTTCGAAGTGCTAAGCTGTAAAACACACTATCGAACAATACTGACACTGCAAGGGTATGTCTGTGGCAATCATACTGATGACTCATACACAGAGCACACACACACACACATACATAAACACAAAATTTAATAAACAAAGACAGTTCTTTATTCTTCATGACTCTTCACTCTACCTTCATACGAACACATACACTTCTGGCCAAAACAACAGGAAAGAAAAAGAGACAAAAGAGGTAGGCTCTAACCGTCTGTCTATCGTTGCGTTCAGGGCGACTGGGGCTGGGGTGTGGGCGTCTACCCCTTCTCTCCTCACTTGCCCCCCGCCGTCGCCCACTGCGCATGGGCATCTGCAAGACCCAAAGTCCAGCAAAAGAGGAGAAAAAATATGGAAGGGAGGGGGAGAAGCATTAATTGTTAAAACAAGATAGAATTACAGGAATGAGGAGATATACGAAGAGAAATAAGATGTAATAATGTGTGTTTGCAGTGAAAATAGAGCCAAAATATAAGCCAAAGAACGTCAAGTTCGTTCAATTCAAGGTGGAACGTATCAAGGGCAACAAGTGAGGAACAACAATAAAAAGAGGAGGGAGGTAAAAGAAAGAGCAGGGCATAATAGAGAGAAGGCAGAAGGACACAGAAGAAGAGGGAGAGAAATTGTAAGCAGAGCAAAGATAACAATATAAATGTGCAATCTCACAACCAAATAAATAATATACATTTTAGTCATCCCCGTTATTTTGAAATACTATCACATATTGAACTAATTATGATGTAGCAATGCTCCCGAGTGCATTACATACAGTACAAGAATGAGGCAGGTATAAAATCCCTGACGTTACTGTGACAAATGTAATGTAGGACTCGTTCATACCGATTCTTTGTGTGTCCGTGTTTTCATTATATCTTCTTTAAAACGTCCATTTTACAACACAAGCCATTGCAGGGACTGAACTGGTTCCTGTTACTGACTGGGCTGTGTGTTACACCATGAGACCTACCAAAAACCTGTAAAGAAGCATAAACAAAAGACAGCATTATTCAGTCTTTATCTGCATGGAAATCCTACAGAGAAAGCAAATGGTTCACTAACAAACATTAGTTCATGTAAGGCTGCTGCGAGGAGCCCTATGCTATCTGCACCAAGCGTGGCGTTCACGACTTTGTGACATTATGAAAACAGCCGAGTTTAAAACTGCAAAAGCACTGTTACAATATTTAAATTCCCAGCATGCTTCACACTGTATTGGCACAACTGCTTTCCACCGCACTCAAAACAGTTTCCTCTCTGCCTTGTGTCTTCACCACAGCAGGGAAAGAAAAAAAAAAAACCCACAGGCACAATAGGTGAACCCACTCACACTCACTGGTTTGGGTATAGTAAATAATTGGGAGCTATAGCATAGAAACAACAGATAATAAGAGCGGGGGAAGAGAAGGTGCTGATTGGTAGACTGCATTTTGGATGGAAGAAGACTCCAGCAAACATCTTGTGAACCCCCCCCCCCCCC